TACACTTAAAGTGGATGTATTTTATTGCATGTAAATTATATCTTTAAAAAACTGTAGGAAAAGCATTATGCTAAGCGAAATAAGTCAGTTGGAGAAAGATAAGTATCACATGATCTCACTCATTTGTGGAATATAATGAACAACATAAACTGATGAACAAAAACAGATCCAGAGACAGAGAAACATCAATCAGACCATCAAACTTCAGAAGGAAGGCAGGGGAGGGTGGGGGGAAGGGGGAGAGATCAACCAAAGGACTTGTATGCATGCATATAAACATAACTGATGGACACAGACACCAGGGGTGTGAGGGCAGTGGGGCGGGGGGGTGAGGGGGTGGAGAAGGACACATATGTATTACCTTAATCAATAAAGAAAATTAAAAAGAACTGTAGGACAAAAGGTACCATTTGTAACAGCAACAAGTATAAAGTATACAACAATTAATCTAACATATATAAGGTCTATCTGGAAAAAATTATAAAGTTTTATTGAACCCTAGCTGGTTTGGCTCAGTGGATAGAGTGTCGGCCCACAGACTGACAGGTCCCAGGTTTGATTCCAGTTAAGGGATTGTACCTCAGTTGCAGACTCAATCCCTGGACCTTGGAGGGCAATGAATTGGTGTGTCTTTCTCATATCGATGTTTTTCTCTCTCTGTCTCTCCCCCTACCTTCCACTCTCTCTAAAAACTCAATGGAAAAATATCATTGGGTGAGGATTAACAACAAAAAATAAAGGTTTATTGAAAGACATAAAGGGATATCCTATCTAATAAAAGAGAAACATGGTAATTGGCGTACGACTGCTACCCTTCCCATTGGCTAATCAGCGAGATATGCAAATTAACTGCCAGCCAAGATGGCAGCCGGCAGCCAGGCAGCTTGAAACTAACATGAGGCTTGCTTGCTTCAGTGACGGAGGACTCCAGCATTCCCCCACCTGCCTTGCCGGCCTCTAAGCCTGCAATTTAAGAAACTTTGTAACAAATATAGAAGCTAAACAAAACCCCAGAAACCTGCTTTCAGCGAGCCGGGAACTCAGAGCTGGAGTTGATACAGAGTTTCGATTATAGAACCGAAACAAACCAGATACCTGCTTTCAGGAGCAGAGGCCTAAGAGCTGGAGCCTCAGAGCTAAAGCTGGCCCAGAATAAAAAGAAAAAGAAAAAAAGGAGCGGTTGGGAGCTTCCGTCACCCGCCAGCCTGAAAACAGCCCTCAGCCCCTCACCCAGACTGGCCAGGCACCCCAGTGGGGACCCTCACCCTGAAGGGTGTGTGACCAGCTGCAAACAGCCATCATCCCCTCCCTCACCCAGGCTGGCCAGGCACCCCAGTGGGGACCCACACCCTGAAGGGTGTGTGACCAGCTGCAAACAGCCCTCAGCCCCTCACCCAGGCTGGCCAGGCATCCCAGTGGGGACCCCCACCCTGATCCAGGACACCCTTCAGGGCAAACCAGCTGGCCCCCACACGTGCACCAGGCCTCTATCCTATACAGTAAAAGGGTAATATGCCTCCCAGCACCGGGATCAGCGGAGCTGCGAGGCCTCCCGGCACCGGGATCAGCATGACAGGGGGCAGCGCCCAAACCCCCTGATCGCCCTGCGGCTCTGTGTGTGACAGGGGGTGGGGCCACAACCTCCCTAACGGCCCTGCTCTGTTCGTGACAGGGGAAGGCGCCCCAACCTCCTGATTAGCCCTGCTCTGTGCCTGATATGGGGGAGCTCCCCAACCCCCTGATCGCCCTGCGGCTCTGTGTGTGACAGGGTACGGCGCCCCAACCCCCCCCCCCCCACGGGCCCTGCTCTGTGTGTGACAGGATAGAGCCATAACCTCCCCATCAGCCCTGCCTTGAGTGTGACAGTAGCGGCGCCCCAACCCCCTGATCCGCCCTGCTCTGTGTGTGACGGGGGCGGTGCCCCAACTCCCCTATCGCCCCTACTCTGTGAGTGACAGGGGGGAACTCCTCAACCCCCTGATGGGCCCTGCTCTGTGCGTGACAGGGGGGAGCTCCTCAACCCCCTGATCGACCCTGCTCTGTGCGTGACAGGGTACAGAGCCCCAAACCCCCTGATGGGCCCTGCTCTGTGCATGACAGGGGGTGGCACCACAACCTCCCTATCGACCCTCCCTTGAGTGTGACAGGGGGCGGTGCCCCAACCCCCCAATCGGACCTACCCTGAGCATGACTGAGGGTGGCATCGCAACCTCCTGATCCGCCCTGCTCTGTGCATGACAGGGGGTGGCGCCCCAACTCCCCAATCGGCCCTGCTCTGAGCCCGACCAGGGGCTGCACCTAGGGATTGGGCCTGCCCTCTGCCACCTGGGAGCAGGCCTAAGCCAGCAGGTCGTTATCTCCCGAGGGGTCCCAGACTGCGAGAGGGCACAGGCCGGGCTGAGAGACCCCCCTTTCCCCCCCGCGTGCACAAATTTTTGTGCACCGGGCCTCTAGTCTATAATAATAAAATTATAATATGCTAATTAGACCAAACGACCTTCGGGACAAAGCCATGGGGGGGCGGGGGGCAAACCCTCTTGCACAAATTTTGTGCATCAGGCCTCTAGTATTTAAATAATTGGAAAGACATAACACATCCATAAAATGAAATATTTAATATTGTAAAGAGGTCAATTTCCCCAATTTGATCTTCAGATTTAATGATCAACATCCAACAAAATTTTGTGAAGAACTCAGTAAGCTGATTCTAAACTTTATATGAAAGAGCTAAGGACAGACACGACACTCTTTAAAAAAGATTACTTACTTCCTTATAGTAATTAAGATAGTGTGATACTGGCATAGGGATAGACAATTTAACCAAAGGAACTGAAGAAAGAGCCCAGACACCACACTATGTCTATTTGGAAATGTAATTTATGAAAGTGGTGGCATTATAAGTCAGTGGGGAAACTAGGAATTATCCAATAAATGGCTCTAGACGCGTTATTATTCAAAAACAGAGAAAGAGAGAAAGAGAATTACATATTCTAATTACACTATACAGAAAAATCCACTTCAGATGAAATAAAGACATAAGTGGATAGGGACAATCTCAAAACTTAAAAAGGAAAAAAAAGAGAGAGAAAAAAACAGCAACAGCCCTAACTGGTTTGGCTCAGTGGATAGAGCGTCGGTCTGCGGACTGAAAGGTCCCAGGTTTGATTCCCGTCAAGGGCATGTACCTTGGTTGTGGGGGTGTGCAGGAGGCAGCTGATTGATGTTTCTAACTCTCTATCCCTCTCCTTTCCTCTGTGTAAAAAATCAATAAAATATATTAAAAAACAAAAACAAAAACAAAAGAAACAGCAACACACTACAATGTTGGAACAGACAAGGACTTTTTTTTAAATATAAAAAAATACAATATAAAAAAATACTGACCAAAAAGGGGAAAATTTAACCCCAAAAATGGATTACAAGCAATAAGTAAAGTTCATTGTGGAACACAGTGGTGGTGCGAGGGGGGGGGCATTTCCCCCCCCAGCAAGAAGAATAAAGCAATGGGAAACTGATGAAAAAACAAGTCGGAAAGTCAATGCAATGATAAAGTCAGTAGGCATGCTTTTGAGCGATCAGTGTTGTGTGAGAGAGAAGTTCCCATTGAACTCTGAAGAGAGAACAAGTGCACAGGGGTCATGAAATTGGAACTACACAAAAGAACATACAGAATCACAGCTCACTGTTTGACTCTGTAGTAAGTGGTATTAACTGTGAATGCTGTGATCTGGTTTTCAACTTTTAGATTTAACCCTTACTAAATCCCAGAAGGCTGACATAGAAGGGAACTGACATAGAAATAGCATCAGTTTTGACAATAAAAGTAAAGGCATGGATGACAGAGGTTAGGAGGCAAAAGGAGACGGGAGAAATAGAAACTATTAATTTTCTCTTTTTACAGAGAAGTCAAAAGAAGTTACAAGAAATAGAAGTTTAAGAATATTATTTAAAATTACAAAGTTGACCAACTTAAAAAAAATGGTGATATAATTATGAAAAACTGGAGTGGGTTGATATATACAGTTATAAAGGTTGGTTCCTTATACCACAGAAGGGATTCAGTAATGTCCCAAACTGGTAAGTCAAGAAATGGTGCTCTACATGTATTATTTAGAGATAAGGAGGTAACCACCAGTAGATCTAAAAGCCAAACAAAAGACAGTGAAGTGGGGGAGGATGTACTGCGCTTCATTTTAAGCTCTTCTGTATCAATGAATTTTCAAACCACATGTTTGTATTAGTCTACTATCAGGTAGGTGAAAGAAAATGAATGTCTACTCCGACAGAAAAACTTCTAATACCTGATAAAGACTCATGATCAAAAAGCCTACCAACTTTATCCAACTGAGTAAACTTAATATCATCATTAAATTCAGAACGAAGAGATCGTAATAGAGTCTGAATCTTATTCTTCTTTGTTTCTCCTCCTCCTTATTTGTACTAACATTTTTGGTCCCTTTAGCTTTCTAGCATGAATAATCAATTAAAAAATTATATATATATGCATATATATATGTATGTGTATGTTATAAACAAAACACTAGTTTTGTTTATAAAATATAGCCTTATGCTTCCTCATTTTCTCGAAACACAGAAAGAGGTAAATCAGATTTTCATTTCCATGTGGTCTAAAGTTAAACTAAGTTTTAAAACCTATGGACATTGCTGCTGTAGAGAAGAAATTATCTCAACCACTGATTTAAGGGAGGCGCACACCAAACGAAAGACAACCTTGCTAACCCAGCACAGTAACTACCCTTCAACTACCCTCCAATCTTTCTGTTGGAGGCTGCTATGCGTCCCTTAGACTTCAGGACTCAGGAGCTAGGTTTCCACGTAGACATTTGCGGCGATTTAAAGAGATGAAAGCCTGAAGTCTAAGTTCCCGAAAACCAGAAGGTTGAATGTTTATGTTAGGTGACATTTAGTTTTGATCCAAGAAAATTTAGCGAGGTCTCCAGTTCAGGCTCACCCACATCCATACCCAGGTCTGTACTTACACGATATTTGCAAGGTCAAGTGGTTTCTCAGGTTGCTCAGGAAAAACAGGATGCGGGGGTTCTCTGGTGGGTACACACCCCAACGATTTACTAATTGCATGGCTCAGCTTCTTTGCAGGGGATTTCTGTGTCAAAGCAGAAAATAAGGAAATAAGGAATTAAAGAAATAAGGAACTAAACCTTCAAAGCATTTCAAAAGAAATGGAGACAAGAGCTATAGGAAAAAGCTTTTCAAATACAAACTAAGTTTCATTATAACCAACATCAATGGGTTCTGCAGAAAGGAATCCACAGTTGTCCCAGGGTCACCTGTGGTCCTTCACGTCTATGCTTCCTTTCCCACCTCTACATGCAGTCATACTACCAACTTCCTGTTAACTTTCCTTTCGAACGTCCCTATGTACCCTTTGCATACAGTCCCTCTTTTTGGTAAGATGTTAATTCCCTCACTGGAGTCAGAAATGTTTGTTGGGCTAAAATGCTGAGAGCTCATGGCTTTTTAATCTTAGCAAATTAGCTGACTAACCACATGCTAAAATGTGCCTATTTAGAGAATATTCCCAAAATAAATGTGAGGCAGAAAATTTGGTGTTAAGGGTCCGGCTATGAGTACAGACACAAAAATGAGTACCCTCACAGACAGGCAGTGCACATCAGACCTGTGACTACATTACGATATGCTGAGGGATGAAAATAAGTTGGCATACTAGTACTAATATATTTCTGTGGAACGCAGAACAATACTTGCCAAAGCCAAAAATGATCAAGTCTAAGATTTAATAGTAAATAGCACCAGGTAAGCAATATGCCACAATTAAGTTTTCATTACTTACAGGAGGCTTTTTACAGGATCCTGATTTTGTTGTCCACCCAATCCCCTGTAAATAACACTGTCGTCTGAAGTTTTCTTGGTAGGATATTAACTGCAGAGAAGTTTAAACACTTCATTCTACTGCCTCTGCAGTGCATTACCGTATGCACCACCTTGACTGGGAAACAGAACTTGCTTGCAGCTGTGTACCACATCCACCACTCTCCATTTAACTTTCATAAGCTGCTTGCGTGGATTTTAACACAAAATAAGCAAAAATCTGTTTGCCTTTAAGCACAGTAGGTGAAGTTGGTTAATACCTTGTTTAAAATAAAGATGGGATAATAACGATTTCTTCAGAAATTTCATATATTGACTCGAAATCACCTACCACTATCCCTTTCAACCCATTAAATTCTGGGGCAAGTCTAAATGTAATCTAATTTCCTGAAAACCATACAAAGCTACACAAAGCAGAAATTCTGAAAACGGCCCCCATAATGTGACTGATTGCTCCTCCTCTATCCTATCACCTACACGGTCCCCAGACATGTCAGTCTTCTGCTTAAAATCTCTCAAGGATGACAATCACTTATAAAATAAGATCCAAATAAATGCCATCATAGTCCATAGCTTTCATGCCTGGCTCCTGCCTCTCTCCTCAGCCTTCCCCCCACACCAGCATAAATGACAAGCTGCTCAGGTGAACCCAACACACCATGTCCTCCTAGCTCTTGGTATCTAGACACCTGTCCTTCTGAGGGCTGCCTTCCCGGCCTGTTTCTCTGTAAATGTTCGTCAGCTCTCAAGGCTGCTTGCAGGTGCCTCTTCCTCTGTGAAGACTTTCCTCACTGCTCCACACGTCAGCGCCCACCTCCCGAGCCACCCGTGTACCATGTACAGATTTCCACCGGTGCACTTCCCATGTCCTAGTGCACTTTTTAACTTACGTGCCTATCTCTGTTAGACTGGTGCTCTCAAAGGGTAGGATCTACATTTTATTCATTTGTGTATTTCTAGAACCTGCTCTATAACAAAATACATTATTTGAACAAATTATTTGCCTCGATGAATTTTTCCTGAGCAAAACACATATGCTTTATTTTTTGAGTTATGATACAAGTAGGAGACAATCAGAGGACACCAGAGAATATCTAAATTCGCCTTTACAACTAAACACAACATCTGTAAGCCATGTATTAATTTCATGACTTTGTGCTCTGTCTGGGAACCACCTGGGCCATTATTCATGCAGACTGTGAGATGGATTAGCATATAGACTGCTTTAGCTGCATCCTGAGTAATAACAGCCATGAAATCACAGGTTCCATACATATATTTTACAATAAACATTAAAATAACTACATGACTGTTAAAATAAAAAATGTTTCCTTTTGCCCCACCTCATACTCTCCAGCAGTATGCTTGTGTGCTTTTGAAAATACTGCTTTAAGTCAAGGTTTAAGATTAGATCCAATTTCAAGTCTCAAAAATATAGATAGAAAGGTAAAAATCAATACAGCAAAGTCAATTCTAAATTATTAGAGTATATTAAGAAAGGCTTGATATGTAGGTAAGGAAAAAATTAGAAATATTTATTGGAATTAGGATATTAACTATGGGCTAGCACCAAAACAAAAAGGGTGTTACCCTGAAAACGTCAAAGATGCGCATTCAATTAGGTTGTCTAAATCTATATATATAAAGGCCTAAACGACTGTTACGACTGGTTGACCAAACCACCGTTCGCTATGACGCACACTGACTACCAGGGGAAGACGCTCAACACAGGAGCTGCCCCCTGGTGATCAGTGCGCTCCCACAGCCAACCTCCGTGGTCCCTCCCCTCAGCGGCCCCGATTGGCCCCGACTGCCGGCCACAGTGAAGGACTGCACCGTGCACGAATTCGTGCACCGGACCTCTAGTAGGTAAATAAATTATTTCCTTACAAAGATCTCAAAGACTGGATTCTGATATAGACCTGAAGTGAATTTCATGGTGGAGTCTGGTTAAGAGGCTTAAGAGTAACAAAGCCTGTAGCCAGGTTCGAAAACTGCTGCAATGGCAAGGTGGGGCATCACCTCATCTGCTCCTTGGTCCCTAGGACAACACCCACACTTGGTAGCCAGTCACTGAATATTTATGGCTCTGAAGGAGGGAGTGAGGGAGGAGGAAAACAGCCAGGCCGAGAGACTGGTGTCTCCCACACCTCATTACGCTACTCTGCCTCCTCCTCACTCCGACTCTAAAACTGATATATGAAGAAGCCTTACCCTAGGAAATTAAATCTCCTCCAAACACTTTTAGGCAATGATTTTCAACTTTTGTGCATTTTCAATACCCTAATCTACTTCACCTAGTTTCAAAACAATTCCTACCATCTCTTAAATTGTTAAACTATCTATTTTTACAATTAAAAATATATCAGAGTGTATAAAACATACATGTACAGTTTTAAAAGTTATAAAACATATATTCATCTACCCACTATTCTTCCTGAGAAATAGAACATTACAGTCAGTTTGAAGCCTCGCTATGGGTCCTTACCTAAGGGCCCACGCCCACTGCCAGCTCCTCTCCTGATAATCAGTGTCCTGGATTTTGTACGAATCGTTTCCTTCATTTTATTCTTTTAGCAATTATGCGTAAATAATATGGTTCATTTACTACATGTTTAAAACCTATATAGGCTTACATTTTTTTTTTCCTGCAACTTGCTTCTTTCACTCAGAATTATGCTACAATTCATCCATACTGACATATGTAACTGTAATTCATTCATTTATCTTCACTGTTTGATTGTCCTTCATTACTTAATTACATCCTAATTTATATATTCATTCCACTGCCAATGGACTTTGGGTAGTTTCCATTTTTTCCCTAATTTATAATGCTGCTATGAACTTTCTTACCCATGACTCCTGGTGGCCATATGTAAGAATTTCCTAACAGTGGAATTACTGGGTCATGAGTTATGCACATTCGGTTCCACCAGGCACTGCCAACTTGTGTTCACGAAGCAGCTGCAGTGCCTTCCGCTCCCCTCAGCGGCGGGAGAGATGTCCTGCCTCTCCACACTCTGGCCAGTCCTTGTTACTAGTATTGTCAGACATTTTACTATTTGCCAATCTGGTGGGTGATAAATACTATGTGGTTTTACTTTGTAATTCCTTGATGACTAAAAGACTGAGAAACTTTTCCTGTGTTTATGGGCCATTTGTGTTTCTTCGTCTGTGAAATTCCTGTTCTTGTCTTTGGCACCCTCTCGCTGGGCTGCCGTTTTCTTAGTGATCTATTGGCTCTTTTATGGTTTTTGTATGTTAACTCAATTTAAGTTATGACTTGAAAACAACTACTTTAAGGCTTGTTTTTCACTTTATTTGTCCTTTATTAAGTCATCTTTAAATATAACATCAGTCCCAATTTATTAATCTTTTCCTTTATATAGGGCAGTGATGGCAAACCTTTTGAGCTCGACGTGTCAGCATTTTGAAAAACCCTAACTTAACTCTGGTGCTGTGTCACATATAGAAATTTTTTCATATTTGCAACCAGAGTAAAACAAAGACTTATATTTTTGATATTTATATTATATATTTAAATGCCATTTAACAAAGAAAAATCAACCAAAAAAATGAGTTTGCGTGTCACCTCTGACACATGTGTCATAGATTCGCCATCACTGATATAGGGTGTCCCCCAAAAATGTATACACACTTTAACAGTTGATAACTCAGTTAATTTTCACTCGTTTTCAGATATAACTGATTTGAAATAATGGGGGAAGCCAGACTAAGCTTTGAACAAAGTATCCTAAAGTACCACTAGACTTTTTTTTTATGGAGATACATAAAAGATAACGTTTATGGTACAAAACCAGCAACAGTCAACAAATTGAGGACACACACATACTGAACAAAATGATTCTTGATGTTGGCGATTCCACTACTTCATATTATCAGCAGTGTCTGGACCAGAACAGTCATCAGTTTGAAAACAAGCATTGACAAAAAAGGTATTCATTTCTGTAGATTCTTTTATTTTTATTTTTTAAAATATATTTTTATTGATTTTTTTACAGAGAAGAAGGGAGAGGGATAGAGAGTTAGAAACATCAATGAGAGAGAAACATCGATCAGCTGCCTCCTTCACACCCCACTGGGGATGTGCCCGCAACCAAGGTACATGCCCTTGACCGGAATCGAACCTGGGACCCTTCAGTCCACAGGCCGACGCTCTATCCACTGAGCCAAACCGGTTAGGGCTCTGTAGATTCTTTTAAATTTTGAAAATGAGCTGTATGTTACTAATGA